TATCGTGGCGCCGAATTAAATTTTAAATAGTTCACGCATACACTTTCCACGCGAACCGAGGTTCACGCACACCCCCCCGTGCTTTCGGAGGAGGTGCGGTAGTCCCGAAATATTAATGTTTATGTATTTAATTAAAAGTTAAACTATAAGTTGCTGTGCATATGTTCACATTCCTGCATCTTAGGGATATTTTGTCGTGAGATATTTTGCCAGGGGATATTTTGTCATGGGATATTTTGCCAGGAGATATTTTGCCATGGGATATATTGTCGCGGGATGTTCTGTCGCTGGGATATTTAGACATGTAACCATTTAAGCTTTTTACAAAATTTCATCGAAATTGGATATGGGCCGTTTTCGGAACTTTACCCTTTTAATAATTTAATGACATCTGCTATAATTCTTATCAGTGTTTTGAGCTTAAAAAATTATCAACAATATATCTCATAACTCTAAATTAAATTTTATTTAATATCAAAAGTTTGACAAGATTTATTCCCTATTATTTGTCGCTTCGAATCTCAATTTTTCACCAAAATTTTTTAAATTCTTGTTTTATAATTGCGTGGCTTAATGTCTCGCCAGTACAACTGTGTAATTTTTCTTATATTACAGTTTGTTCCCCGATATCTGTTGTCGAAAGGACACATCTGGTGGCTTCAGACTTTATATATGTATAAATATGTCTTCTTATTTTCCCGTACACTTTGTAGAACGCAAGGTTGAAGTAGATTATAGGTACGTTGCAGTAGGATAGCAACCGCGCGTTTAAAGGTAACAGCGCGGGAAGAGATCGGTTTATTTGCTCAAGGCAACGCACATGCGACCGCGATACGCAAATGACGCAGATTTACACAGGTGCCATAGATACATACAGTTTTCAAGTGTATACAGCGCTGAATTAACTACGACGTTTGTACACGACGGGACAGTTTGGGTGGGTCATCGAAACCGCCAAGTGCCTACGGGACGAGCCGCGCCATTCTTTCATTAATCGCGTTGTTAATTGCCTAAAGTCGTTGTCGTGTTTGCCACATTTCGCTCGAACATCACGCTACGTTTTATATTCACATTGCAAAGCTATATAGGTAGTATCTTTCTCAATCATATATGATCACCTAATTTTTGGAATAAAAAGCGCTGCTATTGCTGCGTGCGAGGTTGAGAGTTTCTCTAACGATATTAATTATGGGTTTCAGTGAACGGAAGTGTTCAAAGGCCCGAAGATTCTGCCTTCGCAGCAACTGGGCGCTGCGGTCGCTCCATGGCCGGGCGCAACCGGCCTCATAGCTTCGGTCACTGCTGACGACATGGCACACAAAGGTAAGTCTGCGTCTTTTAACATGTAATTGTAAAATCTTAAAATTTCACCGTTGATCGGTATGCATAGCTGAAGATAACTTTTAAAACAAATTAATGCGTAATTGTTAAAAAGATGCGTATAATTGTAGGAAGAATATTGTTGGGAATATCAAATCGAACATTGAAACTATATAACTTGCGACTCTTAATTTGCAATTCTAAAATATGTAAATCAGTATAAAAATCATTACTCAATATAATAATTTAGAATTGTGATGAGCATAAAACGAGATTTAAAAAAAGTTGATGTCTCCAAAGCTGCATGCGCGATAAGAACATTAAAGCACGCGGACTCATCGTGACCCCTAAAAATGTATCGGAAGATCCTTCCACGTCGATCTTTGACCATACGTCATTTTCTAATCCGGCGTTCCATTACGACGAGCCATCACGAGAACGATTATGATAAAACTCTTATGGAGGCGGAGTTCTCTCTCTCTCTCTCTCTCTCTCTCTCTCTCTCGTTTTCTCCTTTTCTCCTTCTACCCAAGAAGCATAAAACTTAACGACTTTTGGACGATGACTACGAAATGCCGATGGTACATAACCACCATACGTGCGACGAATTCTCTTTTTATACGATTGACGTTTTGCATTAACGACGCCGACACACACGAGATACGTATCTCTCCATTCGATTTAAACAATTCTTGGAGCTGCTCTTCAATCATCGCTTCGTATTCTACTTCATTCCGTTTCTTAGCATACGCGCTCGTTAAATTTCAGGAAAATTACCGAGAATTATTTTTGCGATTTTGCGAAAAGACGTCTCTGAGGAGTCTGTCATCCTGATTTAAGTAAGGAATTCTCAAATCAAAACGGTCAGAATATTAAGGGGTGACAATAAATTAAGAATGTTTCTGAGATGATTCCGTATGCGACGACTTCTCTTTTTTTATTAATCCGCGCGCATACACTTCTTCTATTAATTCGCGAGGCAAAGTCTTGGTGAACGTAAACTATGTCCGGAGATATTACGGATAATTCGAATTCTAGCCCCGAACGAATCGAAACGTCCGAGAATCAAGAGGGGAGGCGTTCGGTTGATGGCTAAGGCGTTTAACCCCATTAGTCCTGAATGGAACCTCTCGTCTCTCTCTCCCCCCCCCTACCCTTCCCTCCCTCTTTCTTGTTCTCTCGTACACCCACCCCCCGTTCCTTCTCGCTTCCTCTAACTTTCTGTCACTGGCGCTTCCTCCGCTCTCACCCACCCCTGCTCGAGCTCTCTTAACACAAGGGTCCGAAGAGGATGGGCAGACGACGTCTCAAGGCTTTCTAAAGCCGGCAACTTCTGCCTGAAACTGGCTGCTCACTTCACGTATTGATTTCCATTCTCTTACGCCTTCCAGTCCTCACGCTCCTCGTCCGCCTCGCCGTGTCTTCCGGGCCCACCGCCACCGGTTCGTTCCTTCCGCGGGATCCTTCGCTCCTCCGCCGCGAGATCATAATTTCTATCCCTTGACATCCTGATAGATAGTCGTCGTATAACTTAGCTAAAACGCCAAGCTAAAGAGGAACATCCGAACGTCTTTTATTCAATAACTTGCATACTTCTTGCCCTTTCAAATTTTGTTACGCATTTTCTTTGAATATATTATATTACCATACACCAATTTTCGACGGAATACGTTGAAAAATACTGATGATTTAATAGATGAATGGACTATTGTGGTTATCCAAATCTGGAAAAATCGGAAAAACATCGATAAAATAAGATATACATTTAATTTATCATTTGATCGTGTAGTTTGTTATATCAAAATCGGAATCATTCGGAGTAGCTAAACATTCCATACACGATTTTCAGCAAAAGTAATTACAGCTTGTTTTCTCTTCATTTTTTGTATATATGGTAGTCACGATAATTGAATCTTTTGTGCCTGTAACGCGTCCTGTTTGTTTTTTGTGGGTTGAACGAACCTAGCAGGTCTGTATTCGATTATATCAATTTCAATCAAATTTTCCCCCGCATATTCCAAAACCATTTTGTTATTTCATAGAAGCAGTTTATTTATTAACGGTTCACTATGTTGCAAAGGATTTTAATCCGGCATGTTTTAGACATATACAAAGCGCTATAACAGCTAGTATTATCACAGGATTTACTTTAGTTGTTTGTAATTTGTTGAAAATAATTTTTTTTTACTGACCCTCTCCTCTTCCAGATTCTCTTAGTTATATACAGCGTTATATATTGAACAATGAAAACAACAATGCAAGTAAAACACTTCTTTATGTAATTTAGAGTGTTTTATGTTTCCAAAGATAGTACATATATATATATAGAGTATTGATTGTTAGGTACCTGCCGTGTGATTACAAAAGTCTAAAAATTACTGATGTTTTCTTCAAAAATCCCTGTAATGGGCCGGCGCATCGGATTCCCTTTGGCGTAAAAAATTCCGCGAGGGTTTTCGGCGCGGATTAAACATCGCGGCAGCGGAATCCACAAGTGAGGAAGCGATCGGAGAGTCTGCAGGGTGCTCGAAAATCCACGAGTTATCTGACCGAGTGCGGCTCAGTGGGGTGTGTAGCGTTAAGTTGGCGTTAGCTCATCGAATCGCCGCGCCGCCGCCGCCACGGTGCCAAGAGACGAAGTTTTGTTTTGATCGATCGCACGTACAAATCGTATTTCCGGCCTTACCTCGCGAGCGATGACAAATCAGCTCCTCCTCATTTTCCGCGGCGGAGCCGCGCGAGAAGGCTTACGCATCGCGGGAACATCCTGTCTATCTTTTATGCCTACTTACGCCAAGCCGAGGTAACTCAAGTAGCAAATTAGGTGCTTGCCTTTTTCATTACTTTCCGTCAAGAAAGGTGGGTGAGTAACTTGTAGCTTGTCTCGTGTTCTTATGAACTTCGTGCAATCTTGCCGTTACAAGGATCAGCGTGTCGTAACACTGCTTTTCCATGTAATTCGGAATGTTTTATATTTCCGATGATAAAACAGTCACGTTTGTAACAGTAGGATTTTATAGTTGTTATATACAAAAGTGCATAAAAAGGATATTGATTTAAGTTCATTCATCTCGTATTACAATTATCAAAACATTAAAGCTAGATGTTAGTAATTAAAATGGCGTGGGAAAAAAGCATTTTTATCACGCTAATTTAATTTTTCTGTGGTATAGTTAATATTAAGCGGAAGAATTATTTTTACTTTGAAAATTATTACACGAGAGAGAAAATTTAATAAAAATAATTCTTGGATATTCTGGAATTAAATCGTTAAAAGCGGAGTCGAATAGTTTTAATATAATATTGTTCTTTCTATTTTGTGCATGTGTATTTTTATCATTTATAAACAGCGATTAATTATTTATTTATTATTATTATTAATTTGCAAAAATAGAATTTGCTCTTTTTTACGCAAATGGTATCTAAAGGTGTTTTATTAGCATGCACTATCCACTATGTAATTTAAGATTAGTCACCAAGATTCAAAAAAAATTCTGCAAAGAATAATAGAAAGTTGTCATCTGACTGATTACTATAGAGATGGGATCAAGTTCAATACGTACTTAAAAATTTGAATCAAATCCAATAATCAAGTTTTATTTTCTTGGATTTGAGTAATATTCGAGAGATATTAATAAGAAATACTATTTCACACATCGTAGGACTTGTGAAGTAATCGAACCTCGATTAATTGGTTTCGAATTTTAGAATGATCGAGTACCTGCAGAATTTGAAATGTATTTATAAGTAATTTCTATCGTAAAGAATCTTATCTTTTACAAGTAATATTTATTATATGTCATGATATTATAATGAAAAGTTATAATGTAAAATTGTAATAAAGAGAGATTTGTGTATATACACACACATACACACACACATTATGTTTTTAATAAAGTAATCATAAAAGATTCGAACATATTTGATCCAGGTTCGAATTTATTTGGAAGTATAACACTCTTCTTTTTCGGGGTATTCATAGAGGATTCGAACCCATTTCGTCCAAGTTCGAGTATACTTGAAGCATTGCTTTTATTTTTAAAAGTAATTACAAAGAATTTGAAACTACGCCAACAGATTCGAACCTACTTTTAAAACACTTAATTCTACTACTGATTACTTTTGACGATATAATGCCAAACGTGTCGATTTATGCTGTTTATGTATACCTATAGCTTATAGCTTATACAAAATTAGCTCGAATTCCTGCGCGTTGATATAAATCATAATGTGCAAACGAAAGAAACAGCATGCCACGGTTTTCTTCGTCATTTCGGCGTCATTCTGTATACATATTTGTCCCATAAATTAATTCGGTACTACCGTAAAGTGTATTTCTATACCTCACGGTCGTTTCATCTTGTTAAGAATTTCGCTGGACGATTTGCGCATTCTTTCATAAACTTTTTAGCCGCATATTTGCGGACAACTTTTGCAGAATTGCAAAGCCACTTGACGGCATTTCCGGTGTGGAATATCTACGAGATAGTATTTAACAAAGTTTTCACGACCGTTGGGAGGGTTAACGCTTCAAACGGCGTTCTGCAACTTTCGAACTAACGATGGTCCCTTAGCCGTAATTCCTGACGAGAGTTTCCAAAGTTTGGCAAATCGTCGCGTTTCCGCACATTTGTCCTGCTCCGTCGCGTAAAACGAGGAGGCGCACCTAGTACTTGTCGCGAGTAATCGCGCGCGTAACTTAGCGATCAAATTTTCGAAACGCAAACTGTGCTCGCAGTTGTTTCGTACGTACGTTCCTCTTGTTTATCGCACAAATAATATTTGCTCGCTTTTGCGTGTCATACATAAATATATAAAAATAATTTTGTTCCAAAATATTAAATACCTTTTTTGTAATTATTTTGTAAGTAGGTATAGCAATCGGTTTTATTGCGACTATTTCTTTCTTGTCTTTTAACTTTTTTTTACATTGACGGACAATACTATAGATATATATATTAATAGGTAATATACATACTATACATATATCAAAATAGTAGTTT